AAAATACTCATACCTGGTCCCACCCACCGGGGTTCTGATTTCATCGGCCTGAAGTGCAGGCTGATGGCTTGAAAAACACCCCCGATGATTCTAACATAAAACCAAGATTTAAAACCAAGATTACTAATTTAAAGGTTTTAGTTAATGCAGTGGTTCTTATTCCATTGGTCTGGGATGGAGCATTTATTATTATTATTTATTATTATTATTATTATTATTTAACCATCTCAGGCAATTCTAATGGACAGCTGGTGCTGATAACCTCTGGGATATCAGAAAGCTTAAGACAAGTCAGTGGTATTATTTCAAAAATCTGTTGCTTATCTGCTTCCAATAAAACATTAATAGAAGTATGGTATCTAGGGCAGAGAAAGCAGTCCCTCTCTACTTTTCCACCTGAAGTGGCACAATTAGTTCTGCCACATTTTAGGGGCACACTGACTAATTGAATTCATTCAGGATGTCAGAAGACTACAGGGCACATCATCTGTGACATATAATTTAAAAATGACACGATAGTTGTCTTTCAATATTTGTAAAGGGCTGTTCTGTGGAAGAGGAATTAGAAATTTGTTTTTGCCTTTGTGTTTTCTAGAAGGTAGATATTAAACGGAGGAAAACTTCAGCTCAGTACAAAAAGTAACTTGCTGCTAAAATGAACTTTCTGAATCATTGGAGTTATCCAATCAGAAATTGTACATCTTCACTAGGGTCTTGGGCAGCATTCCTGTACATATGTACCTTCCAACGTTGAACTACCTAGACTGCAGTGTCCATGAAGGCCAAATCCATACGCTGTGGTCTCTTTTTCCATCAGGACCAGTGGTCCAGTGTCCTCAGCAGAGTCATACCTGAAGAAACGTTTATTGACTATATGAATATTGAACCTATATTTCTATATTTTAGCAGTCACCCACAGGCATGTCTGCAATGCAGAAAGTAGGCATCTGTCCCAATTCACATTTATTTTTAACTTTACTTAAAATATACAATTGTTTAGCCAAAAATTATTTTCCTTCAAAGTATCTGATCATTACAGTTTCAGATTTACATTCTCATCTGTCTTGAGGGCAGTTATGTAAAAACGTGCACACATCTGGACCCTCACTCCATTCCTTCACACCCTCTAGAGCACACTGCCTCCAGGTCCCCCTCTCCCCCTTCCTTATCTACCGTCTCCCTAAGACCGCCCAAGTGTTCAGCCCCAGCGGACTGCGGCGGGGCCTGGCTGTTCATTTCACCCCAGCCATCGCTGCCATCCACTGATCACCATGGCTAATCAGATAGTATGACAGTCTGCACCAATCATTAAGATGACCCAAATTAACAGCCTGGCCATGTCACAGTACATTCATTCCACATCCACAGACATGGCCTAAGTGTGAGGCAGAAATTTGGATGTGCTTATTTGTGTTTGCATTGTAACATGCATTATTGATAGTCCTACACTGCTTCGGTGCTTTAAATCTGCAAATGAGACTCATCTGTCAATTACTCGAGCCAGAATTGAGATCTGAGGGCAAAGGAGAAAGTGTGTGTGCCATTTTCTACCAGCATTTCCTTTCATTTGCCCTTTTCCTTCACAGTTACCTTGTAAAGCATCTTAGCTCAGCACACTGCCCAGCTTTTTTGCTTACAACGGATAGTGAATCCGAATATGTTTATAGCCTGAAGAGAAACAGATCTTCCCTAGCCAGGTGAAGAAGAGAATGCAGGCTCTGAATTGGCAACTGGTTGTGGGGATTCGGTGATCCACGTTAACGTGCCTCCTGTAATACTGGTCAGTAAAGCTCAGTTCTTAATAAAGCACAGGCAGCCTTATCTTAATCACCATTGCAATTGGCACCTGCAGTGCCTGGTGTAAATTATCCCCCAAATATTTGCATTCTTGATAGCCATTTTTCGGCAGTGCATTTAATAAGTAGAGGGTCCTATTACCTGCTAAACGTTAGTATAAATTAACAATCCATTAGGCACAATAAGTTTTATAAAACATTTACAGATAGAGATCATGTTTAATTAAAATTAACTTGCATGTGAAAGCCAAGTGCACTAATGATCACAATGACCTTTTATTACCTGCAGTCCCTTGTTTGGGCTGGAATGATTGACAGCTTGCTGTTTGGCTACCATGTTGAATTTCAGCTGACAAGACTTTTCATTTTAACTCAATTTGCCCGCCTATCACAAGCTGGTGGCAGGCCAGACCCAAGTCACCCAGCTTTGCCTCAGCAGCTTGCTCTAGTTCTCATTAGTACGCATTTATTCAGTGGAAATTGGAAGACAAATGCTTGAAGGCATGTGAACTAAGTATAGCAAATTAGGTTTAAAGACTGAATATTTATAAGTATATGGAAAGTTTGGTTTTTTTTTTAATTCTAGAGCGAATTGAGAACTGAGTGCTAGCTTTGGCATAAAAGACATAAAGATAGAAGGGGGAAGGAAGATTCTAAGAATAACAATACTATACGCTTTTTCTTTCCATTTTGGAAATATGTTAAAATCTCTCTGACAACACCTTATCAAATACCAACCTGGCCTCTCTTTGGTGGAATGCTGGCACAAGGAAGTTTAGCACCTTGTGTGTGAGAAGGGGGGAAAAAATGAGGGTCATGTTCAATTGTTGCTCGGTTATCCCTTGGTATGTTTTAAATTGCCTTGTTTGTTCGGCACTAGCACAGAAACAGATGTTGCTGTACCATGCAGGATAATTTACTGTACCTCCTGGTGCAGCATGGAAGTCCTCCCAGGGCCCAGCTGGCCTGTCAGTGGCACTGGCTGGTGTCTGCCCAACTATGACAACTACAAGTAGAAGCTGCAGTGTTTTTTGGTTTTTTTTTTAATTGTGCAGTTGTCATTCTTCTCAACATATAGCTCTGCCTGCATTCTTACGGGGCTGATGGAAAAGCTGCTGGCTTTTGTGTCTGTATGTGGCAACGCAGAGCCACAGCAGCCCCACTCCACTCTCCATTGTTAATAATAATGCAGCTCATTACTTTTGCCATCTAATGATTATCGGCATGATCGCCCCGAGTGAGAGCCAACCTCGTCTTTTACACATAACTGGTACTGGAAGGTAAAGCAGATTTGTCATTTACGATCTGACCGCTAAGCCACACTTTGTGCTCCATTATTGTGATTAACTTCTGCATAAGATATGCTTGTCCAATTGTCATTTGTGATACTGCAGTGGGCGCAAGCTGCCATGCCTCCCATGAGCAGGTCAGCCAATCAGATGTGACCATGTTATTTGGACTGTTAAATGCCTATCCTGTCACAGCAGCCACCCCACAATTATTTTGCTTTTGTATTTCTTCTTCCCATACCCCTACTGGACTTGTTGGGTGAACCATACTGGTCTTGTTGGGTGAACCGCACTGCTACATATGTCAGCTACTATTTCACACCACAAGCTAAAATGATGCTGTGCTGCTGTTGACCCAACAGAGCCAGCAGCAGTACGCAGAAGCTGGCCCTTGCTTTGCACCGTAGAAATGTTGGTCTCTGGTGTCCTGCCAGCTAAAATCCGTCGTGTCAGGTGCCTGGTGGCGATCTGCCGTAGAGTCCATGTTCCAAAACCAAAGTTCTTTTCTGGCCTTATCACCACCAAACCAATTTGACTCTGCCTGATTATAATAACGAAGGCAGTCCAAAAGAATATGCATGGCCTCACTGTACGTCACGTTGAATCACCACATTGACCTCACAGAGGTGGCCGCAGCCTCATTTCTTTAGACAAATGCATGCTTAGGGAAGAACCTCCTGGGAGAAGCACCCAAAGCTAGTTGACATTGCCATGCAAGCTGTGCATAGATTTAAATGTTAGTGAAATAGCATTTTTATTTTTTTGGCTGATGCAAGCCCTCACTAACCAGTCTGCCTCTGTAAATCTAATAATTGGGTACCTGTGTTTCAGAGCTTTGCTGAACATTAGGAAACTGGGTGTGTGTGTGTGTGTGTGTGTGTGTGTGTGTGTGTGTGTGTGTGTGTGGGAGAGAGAGAGAGAGAGAGAGAGAGAGATTGAGATTCTACATTGCAAGCCATACACACAACCATTTGTTACCATGCAAAGGGGGAAAAACGCTCAATTTGGAGCTCTTTTTCACATTGCTGATTAGAAAGAATCAAGCTTTATATTCTAGGACCCATTCACGCTGGTGAAAACATAGTCAGTTTTGATTATGAAGGCAGAGATGCAGACCTAGACAGGAGCTGCATGCTATCAGAATGATTTATGCAAATTATGCATATTATTCCCGAAGGAATTCCTCCTCAAACTGCCAGGATAAATTGCCGGAAATTAGCCATAAAATCTGTCGTGCTAGGAGCAAAAGGTGAAGGCCACTGGGAAAGCAAGGACACTTCAGCTTCTGGAATCTTCCAGGCTACGATGGTGGCTGTTATTTTCACTGGATGCTGAGGGAAATAGGGTTTTCTTCTGATTCCTGTAAAAGTAGTTTCCCTTTAAATTTTTTCCAGCAAATGCTGACTCACATTTTATTTACTGCTCGCATAAAAGAAATTAAGTGTTCAGCTGTCTCAGAAAGTACTACTACAATTACTTTACTATTAACTGCCTAAATGGTTATGAAATTCCTGAGCCTGGTGTTAAAGGTATAGCGGTTTCCAAGGGACTTGAACTGGGAGACGGTTTTAATTTGCAATGGGTATACCCATAACACAGCACTGCTCTCTGGCAAACCATTCCTTCCTGCAAAAACCCTAATTAATGACTGTCTGCCCAATCACTGCACTGTTGTTACCTCCTGTCTGTGAAATGGCCCCAAGCTATGTTGAGGCCAGGCCAGCACTGTCTCACCCACCCCCTCTTTTCTCTGGCCATGCAAAGCCACCATAGGCTCCATCTTGGTGCTCAGTGGATCTGATTAGGAAAGGGTTTCCTTTTCAATCAGAAATATTGGTGATAAGCTTGAATGGCAAATGGTGGGCATTCCTCGGGAGCAATCATATTCTAAGAAACTGTTGCTTGTTTCCTTCAGAGAGCACCATTCTCGAAGCTTTACGCCTGAGCTCATTTTCAAGCATCATTCGTTTTGTTGAAGAGGATTTGACTCTACCTTCAGAGACTGGGGACTACCTTCTGCGCAAGGGAGACCTGTTAGCCATCTTTCCTCCGCTCTTACACCATGACCCCGAAGTCTTTGAAGCTCCGGAGGTAAACAACGTTAAGCTGGTCATTGCTACTTCTTAGATACTGCAAGCACATTCCTTTCCCTCATCATCTCTTTCTGTCTCTTCTTTCTGCTGCCTTTTTCCAGATGAGATTGAGACAGCTTCGTGGCTTCAATTTTTCCTTCCAATGGGAAAATTTTCCTGTTTACTAAGGATCTCCCTTTTGAAATTTTTGTGACCTACAAGTAGAAACACAAATGATGAGACTCAATGCTAGGTTCTTCAAATGAAATGGACATTGTACCTTGGCCATGATTACCTTTAGGCCAAAATTAGGTTTCTCTTGGCAGAGAATTATTGAAAACCATAGAAGGCAAGCTATTGACAGATAGCTTAGAAAACAAATAATGATGAATATTTTGCTAAGTGTTTCCAGAATGGGGTTGATATCCCAAAGTCAAATACCATCATAGCTGTAGTTAAGCCCGTATACTTTTTCACCTCTTACTAAAGATATGTGCCCCTTCTTGATCAATTAGGATGGCATTATGAACTTGAGATTGTAAAGCTGCTGCTCACAAGTGAGGCTTTGAGGGTAATTGTGTCATCTCCTTGTATTTTTTTCCAAAGCTGGAGTTAATGAATATCAAAGACTGGAAATTAATCTACCCTGGCTCATCTCTTAATACCATTTCAGAGGTTCGCCACCTGCATGCAAATTGAATGCAGTCATAGTCTGCCTGTGTTTCTCATGAAGTAATGCTGTTGCTGCAGTGGGTTTTGTATATAAAATGCCATTTTTCAAAGCAAAACTTCCATGCTCTTTTTGAGCAGTTCAAAAGCTGAATCACTTTCAAACCCAGTTTCTCAGTGAGAGGTCTTGCAGCCAGGCTGGATAAGAATATTGTTGAATTTTGGAAACCAATAAGAGGACAGACTTCAAATACAGTGAGATAATTTGTATTGATTTCATCAGCAAAGCAAAATTTTTTAGGTGAGGGGAGAATGTACTTATGGTTTCTATGTATGTCAGAAAAGGCACTAAATGAATGATGATAGCAAGTCAGAAGTAGGGTCTTAGTGAGAAATGAACGTTTTGCAGACAAGAAGATTTATTTCCACATTGGTAAATATCAAAATTTTTATACATAAGTAGATAGTTAATCAGTAGGGCAAAATAAGTAACTAATATTTGAAAAATATTTTTAAATTTTTAGTTTTGTTTCTAATTACAAGTTTTTAATTTAATTAACATTATTTTTATTACATGATTATTCCACTAGTCATTAAGTTTACTATTCATGTCACAATAGTAAAATCAATATGAAAGTTATCAACCGATACTCAATACATGTTTGCCAAATCACTGGTGTTTTTATGGTACTGTTCTTTGGGTTCCTCCTGTCACCCACCCGTGACCCTGCCCCCATGATGGAAAAGACCGTGAGTTAGACTTTCAGGAACTTAAAAATCAAAGTTAAATATTGAACATATGCTGATATATATTTATATTCTAGTATTTCTGTACAATACTAAATAGCAGTGCCCAAACTGTACCTAATAAATTGACCAATCTTAAGAGGAATCAGAAAGGTTTGCCTCATACCAAATCTGGAGAAGAACAAAATCGCCATATTGTGAGTACTGAGTCTAACTTAAGCTCTGAGTTAAGTTGATGAGCACTCTCTGTTAGTTCCTAGACCTAACATTACCCAGTTGCACCCGACTAATGGTAAAATTAACTAGCTAATTTTTTGCCACGGTATTGTTGTCTTGAAATTAGTTGTGGAATGCTAATTATAGTTCAGAACCATTTTTACATGATTTGGTAAGGTCCTGTGTAATCATTCATTCTATAAACATTTACTGAGCATTTACCACTGTCAGGCATATAGACTGATTCCTTTTGTTTTTAACAATTTAAGGTAGCAGTAAGATACTATAGATGCCCATCCAAATACAACCATGCACTGGCAGTAAAGAAGCAAAGTCTGTCCTTGGCCATTTGTCACTCAGATCCCTGAACTCAGATGAATCTCATCCGAGGTTCATATTCCCCACTTCCTGTCTTTTGACATCTACAGATCTTGCATGGGAACACCAAGTCTTAGATGTAAAAAAACAGGCAATAGCTGTTGGGTCAAAAACTTGAGGAAGATTATCTCCAGATGTCAGTATAGTGATTCCCGGGGCCCCTAGAGACTAAATAGCCTTAGCAGAACACAGCTTCTCTCATCCCAACGAGGCATGCTTTCAGGATGTTCAGAACGAAGACACTGTGGAATATTACATTCCCAAAAAAGGACATGGGCTTCCTTCACTCATCTCTCTATTCCTGAATGTCCCTCCTTGTCCCCTCATGGGGTTACAGGTTACCCACAAGAATCACCCTGAGTCACCTCTTTTTTGACCGTGTCCCTGATTCTCACTTTGTTCCTCAGAGAAGGTACCGCCGTCCCCTCTATGGCCTGTGTGTACCTTCTGTTTGTTTTATGATGGTGCGGACCACGTGGCATTTTGCAATTACTTTTGTTGACTTGTCTGTGCTCCCATCTGCTGTAAGCTCAGAAGGGGAATGCCCTGTCACAGCGTCCTCTGCCTCCTCGGTGCCGAGCACACAGGAGGTTGTCCATAGCAGGTGACTAGATAAGGAGGTGCTGGGGTGGATGATTGTACTGAAAGTGAAAATACACTCCAGATAAAATTTTAAGTCACCACAGATATTGCACATTCACATATGTCCTGGGCCTGACTACGTCAAATAGATGAAGTGGCTTGTGTATAAATAGAGCAGTGCTAGCAGGAGTGGTGAGAGCTACGGCAAAACTTGGGCGATTTCTGAACTAGTCCTCAGCTCTGACAAGCATATAGACCTGGTATGGCCCAGTTGTGTTTTTTGTTCTTTTGGTTTTAACTCAGAAAACAGATTTCTGGGCATTGCTTGGAATTTTTTAATGTTTGGAAAAATACAGCTTAAAACACAATGTGGGCTAAACTAAAAGTGCTTGGGGGACACAACTGGGTCTGTAAGCTACCACCAACATGTAATCTCCGTATTAGGAATTATTTTCCTGAATATTGGTTGCTTAGTTTAGTGTAATGTAGTTGGTCGGGCAGCTCCTGCCTGTGTGGGAAAACAAATTGGCAAGTAAATTGTAAAACAATGAGAGAGAGCAAAGGAAACACCTCTTCCCGATACTTTCTTCCTCTAGCTTTATCAGTCTAAACGCTGTCCGAGACAGTCTAGATAAATTACCTAAGAATGGAAAGCTTTTTAACATTTTCTGAAGGCTTCCTCAAATTTATATCTATTACCATCCAGGATTCCACTCCTGACTCTCAAAGAATCAGTAAATGGTGATGATTTCTTTTTTGCCAAAATACAAAACTGGAGCTCTGGAAAAGACCAAATCTACTGGGTGTTTTTTCTATGGCTAGAGGGGCCGAGGTATAAAGGGAGGTCTGGGGAGGTCCACACGGAAGAAACGGCAATCATTTAAGATGGTAACACATTATCATAACCAAGTAGCCTCCAAAAGTAGGGAAACAGCAAAGTTATAACAAAGCCATCAGAGTACCCACTAAAGTTCTGAACTTGAAAGGCTGTATTTGACTTCATGGAAGCCTACCCTCCCTACTTCTCAGAGGTATAGGGATTATAAAGCAATAAATGAATATGAAAGCCCTTGAAAAAAATTCTAAATCACTATAAAAATTGTTGTAGCAACATTATTTTGATTATTGCCACTGTTCTTAGAATATACTCATGACAAATGAAAAAATACTCTAAATAAATTTTTGTCTGTATTGCACCCCCAGTATACTTCAAGGAAACAAATGTATACTGAACATCTTGCTATCCAAAAAGCATTTTCATGGGCATAATGGGTGACAAAGAAGTGAAAACAGAGGGCTTTTCCTTAAGAGCATATAGTTTAGGGTGTTGGCCTTATCACATGGCTGTGTTCTCATATCCAGATGTTTCATGATGGGAGGATTTCTGCCATACCAGTAAACTGGCTTTTCATACTTACTATGGTGGAACCCGCTGGTAAACCAGCACTCTGAAAAGCCTGGTTTTGTCAGTTTTCATGATATAAATATCCCCGCCCTGACTGACTGCATGTTACCACCACGAAGACCCTAAACATGGAGTTGAGAAGAGATATGCTCACTCTTGTGAGCTGGTTAGTACAAGCTGGCTACAGCCGTCCACTCTTTGGAACCCAAGTCATGGAGATAAAAAGGAACTTCTGTCATCTGTCATCTTGCTCCCAGGAGGACTGACTGTAAACCAGGGTCAACAGTGCAGCCCCTCAGTCATCCATCCAAAACACTGACAGCTTTTATGTCTAGGAAGTCACACCTTTTGTCTAATCTAGATTCCTATGCCCAAATGATGAGTGAATACAAGACCTGATCATACTGTATGTCACCTACCTCAACAAGACCATGTTGTACGCCTTTCTAACTTCAGTGCTTTGCATACTTTTTAAAAAAAATCTGTTGAACTGAACTAAACATAATATTTGGAGAACACAAATTAGGTTGTTATGCAATGTTCCTCAGTCACTTATACCAAAAATTCTTCTCTATCCAGAAAATTGAATCATCTATCCAGTCTTGATTTCTAGTGCTAAATATTATACCATTTTCCTTTTGTAAACACTGAATATTCATCTACTCTTCATTCTCTACATGTTTATTTACTCATTCAATATCTGTTTTCTTCAAAAGCTTGAAGATTGCTTTTAAAATATACTTTATTGTCATGTATTTATTCATTAATTCGACAAACATACATGGACCCTCTACTATGTGCACAGCACTCTCTTGGATGCTTTAAAAACACAGAGATAAATAAGACAGTGTGTCAACTCCGATCTCCAGGGATTTCCTGGTTCTGCTATCTCCTGTGGGTTAGCTCTGTCTTCAGCCTGGTGGCAAGAAAGCTGAGACATTTGGAGGCATCATATTCACAAATAACGAGGTCCAGAGGAAAAAGGGGGATGAACCTTTTTTGCTGTTTGTTTTTCTTCCTTCACAAGAAGAGAACTTCTCCCAGATGTCCGCCCAGACTTCCCCGCTGTAGCACTGACGAAACTGGTTCACACACCCTGTCCTAATGTGATTACCACGAGCAATGTGATTACCACCATTGGGGCCTAGACAAACCTTATGCAGAAGAAAGATGATGAGGAGTCAAACACAACAATCATTAGAGGAGCAGTGCGGAATGTCAGCGTCTCACCCTTTCTCTTACGATTTCTCTCTTCTCATCCACTTAGTAATATTGCATTTAATTGACTCTCTTTAGTTAAGAAGCACCGAGCTATTATGGTTACTGCAAAGGATTTAAGTCAACCTGATGAGTCCTGTGTTTAACTTGTTCCAAATGATTGTGTTCATCTTGAACTTCCTAACTCTTTGTTCTTTGTCACTGTGACCCCAAAATCTCAGGGGTGAGACTATTATACCCTCTTTTCTTTTTGTCTAAAACCAGGCTATGTCCCTAGCAGCTGCCATATGCCCTTTCTAATAGATTTCTGCTCTGGTGCTCCATGCCCTGGCAATGGAAAACAAACTGGAAATAAATTTCCACCCAAAAATATATTTATAGACCTGTGTGCCCTTGAACTTCGATGATTGTCACTGAGCAAAAGAAGTTGGCCTCTTCTCTTCTTATTTCATAATATAACCAACTAAATAGGAATTCCTAAGATGTTTATTATGAGGACATTGAATAATGTGATGGAAAACTAGAGGAGTGGCATTGCTGATTGACCAGAAATTTGAGGGGACTGAATGTAAACACTAACTCTTCAGGTCACAGAGGTGTGAGAGCATTATGTGTGTTATGACTATGGCCTCTCAGAGGGCCACACATTCTCTCTCAAAGAAGAACAGGAAAGCCATGACCGTTTCTGGCTTCTCTTAGGAAACCAGGACATTATGAAGTCATAACCCAGGCTAAGTTTTCCTTTTGTATGTTCTGGCTTAAACAATGGAGCTCCAGGGAGACCACGTCTAACAAATCATTTCATGGCAAAATTGACTTAAACTGATTTGGCCTAGGCCCGGAGCTTTTGGGGAGTGTGCTCTTCTCAGATTAGTCAGTGAGTTGGAGGAAGCAGGAATATTGAACTCAGGGAAGCAGGCTGGGTCACATTAATAGACAAAGGTCACCAGAAACAAGTACCATATTCTAACTCTACCTCTAGGAACAAAGTGTATGTCAACAAAGAGAGCCCTTATTCATTACTACAGGGACGAACAGGTGTTTTTAGTTTTATGCTGGTTAGATCCTATTCAGATACATCCCAGAACTGTCTGTGGAAAAATACACTTGTGTTCTAATGCAGACTAATTTTGCCATTATGATTGCATCAACTTTGCAAGTTGGAGAGGACAGGCAGCTACCCCAAGTGTGTTTTCTAAGCTTGAGTATTTGTCAAAATAAGTATCGCACGTAAATGGCGATAACCCCAGTACTTTTAAAAGACATGATTTTGCTGACATGAACACTGGCATTGAGTGAGAAAATTAGATCGTTTGTAGTGGATTCAGAATCTCGCCACGTATTATAGGGTTTTCTCTGTAACCTAAAATGCTTTTGATCTGATCTACTTCTTTACCTTTGACTTCATGTAGTTCGTATCAAAGTTGTGTGCTGAGCAGGCCTAATGCTAATGAGCACCGAGTACAGGAAATACTTGGTCGTTTTCATGCCTGCCACGTGTATTAATTTAATCAATGGCTTAATTCACCATGGGCTGAAATAAGGTCACTCAGTCTCCTCTTGGAAACTCAAGTGACAGTAAATTAAGATGGTGGGCCAGACACCCTAGATGAACCAGTGCTGTCATTTTCTATAACAAGTAATAGAACTTATTTATGAAAATATATCAGAAACTCCTGCCACCCTAGAGTTAACCCAAAGAGAGCTCAATAACTGTCATAGAAGAAAGTCAGCACAACATCAAAAACAAGCAAGACCGATTTTGTGGCTTAGCTCCTCTCTTGTGCTTTATGTGAATTTTGTTATTTTATATCTATTTAATCCAAATATAAGCACTGAATCCTAAGCTCATAGTTCTCATCCATGGGTAGCTGACTGGGAAGGAATAGAAAAAAAGCCTAGTGGAGAATCCTCCGTTAGGCAGCTCCTACTCATTATTCCATAGTAAAATATCTGGTGGCAGGGCAGGGCCCCTTACCTTCTCCCCAGCATTGGCCTATCAAGTGCCCACAAGTGAGGACCCATCTTAGGGAACAAAAATAGATATACTGCCTCTCTACTTAGAGAACTCAGCCTAGGAGAGAAATGTAAATTGGAAAGAAAAGTCGCAGAGGTGTTTGGATTTCACTTTGATATGGGAGGAATCATTTCGTAGTGACATTTGAGTTTTTTGATAGTTCATACATGATCTGCGCTTAGTCAAGTTTTACTTTCTGGTGTTTGTTGGACTGAAGGGACCTTTTGAGACAGGCAGGAGGAGCTGACAAGTCTGTGGAGCTAGACTCAAACGATTTCATGTAAGTTTTTCACTTTAACACTCTCTGTTTCTTCTTCACAGGAGTTTAGATTTGACCGTTTTGTAGAAAATGGTAAGAAGAAAACCACCTTTTTCAAAAGCGGGAAAAAGCTGAAGTTTTATCTACTGCCCTTTGGATTGGGAGCCAGCAAATGCCCAGGCCGATTTTTGGCACTTATTGAAATAAAGCAGTTGTTGATTATACTTTTAACTTATTTTGATTTAGAGATAGTGGACGATAAACCTATACAACTAGACAAAAACCGCTTCTTATTTGGTATTGAGTACCCAGATTCTGATGTTTTATTTAGATACAAAGTCAAATCCTAAAGAAGCTAAAAAGAAAGAAATCTATCAAGACTAACCTAAATGTCCTCAGCTCAGTTTTGATTTTAACTTCTGCAAATGTAATTGCTTTGCTTTGCTTGTTTAAAAAGTGCCAATTTTTATTTTATCTGAGATCAGCCCAGTTTGTACTTGGTCACAAACCCCAGCAGAAAATAAAACAGAATGGGGGCATGAAAATGGACATGAAAATCAACATAATAATAAACTTAAAATAGCTTTTTTAAGTTTCTACCTATTATCTTCACCTGTCATAGTAAATAGACGGTAATAGATTTGACACTGTGGGATTTTTTTTAAAGTCACTCAAATTCTTCTCTAATATGTAAATACATACTTTATGCACTACTGGAAATGGACGCATTCTAACAACTTCCAAATTCTCAGAGAAGAGGGAAATTACATTTCTGTGAGATAGACAGGATGAAAATGTTCCCTTCACATATAATATTAATAATATCTGTATTGCCAGGGTGTGTTTGCATTAAATGAGTTTTGCAGTAGATTAAATACTTCAACTTCACTTCAATATTTAATCATCCATAAATGCTCTTTATTACTTTGTGTACTATGACTCAATAGAACACAATTTCTTGTTCTATAAGACCACTCGGGTTCAAGTTAGATACTGATAAGATTTAATATATAAGAACACACAAAACCTAGTACATATTCAGCAGTTGCCCTAGATATAAGTATTACGTTTATTGTAGAAGCAAATGTTGAAATCACTCCAGAATTGATTGTAGCATTTGGCTTTAGTGTAAACTATAAGGGTGATGCCAGTATTGCAATTAAGTCTTTCCTAAATGCTTTTCTTTATATAAACTGAGCAACCAGCTAGCAGTATTTGTTCTTAACACCTCACCTTTTGGATTTGGAGTTTATTTGTATTACTCTGAATTATAACATTGTATAATTATTAGGTATAATTATTAAGTATAATTTCATAAGCCACAGTGC